ACTGCGTTTATGTTTGTATTGTTAGTGTTAATAAATTTATATTGTTTATAACATATCTGAGGTCTGCGTTTCCCTGCGTCAGCCACACACCTCTGGTCACACCTGGGAGCCCTGACATTACACCAAGGCCAATCCTGACCAGAAGTGGCTGCACAGGGAAGCCATCTTGGCTTGTTGCTGGGAAGGATGGATCTGGATGAGGTTGTGTATTTATATCTGCTAGTGTTTGATGACAGGGAGTATGCTTATCAAACTCTGAAGGAGTATCCCAGGGATCAACTACTAGAATGTATACGGCTCGCTCATGTTCTAGTAGATCAGGGCACAGAGTTCTCTGAGGTGCAGCCTTTGATTGAGGTTTGTGCTGAGTTGGTTTCATCTGGTTCCCCCCGAATGCAGGGATGAATTTTTGCCACCATTTAGTGCAGACCAGGTAGAGTCCCTGGTGTGGTTATTAGAGGATGATGTGTGGGTTACTTTCTGGAGCGTTATTCCACATGTTCACCACAGACACTAAGAGATTGTATAAACGCAGTGCAGTCATTGACCAGACAGGCTTTGTGTAAGCTCAGCTTTGTTCAACCCATACTGCAGACATGGACAGACTTGTTGCACCCAGCCTCAGTCAGCTTACAAAAACCCAGTCCTGCTTCTAACTCTACTCCTGTATTCCCACCAGCTCCTCCAGTTACAGCCCAGTATACTTGGCTATCTACCGCATGTCAGTACCCTGTTCCCACTCGCTGCACCTATCCTGCCTTTAACCCTGTAAAAAAGCCCTCTGTAGCAACTGCTCCCTCTCCTGTTCCATCCTCCAGTTTTTCTCTGTCTCCAGCTGCTCCATTCGTTTGCAGACCTGCGTTTGCTTGCAGTGCTCCAGTGGTTAAAACCAGAAAAAAGCGAAAGTTCTTTCCAACCAATACCATCCTGCCAGTGTCCAAACCGGTGAACCTGCCTTCCGTGACTCAGCCTGAAGCCTCTACTCAGCCTGAAGCCTCTACTCAGCCTGAAGCCTCTACTCAGCCTGATGCCTCTACTCAGCCGGATGCCTCTCTTCAGCCATATGCCTCTCTTCAGCCGGATGCCTCTCTTCAGCCGGATGCCTCTCTTCAGCCGGATGCCTCTACTCAGCCTGATGCCTGCATTCAGCCTGATGCCGCTACTCAGCATGATGAACTGATCCAGCCCGACGATCCTATTAGGCCAGTTGACTCGATGCCCGCTGTCGATCCAGATGATCCGGTACCTGATCCAGTGCCCGCTGTCGTGCCAATTGACTCAGAGCCCGCTGTCATACCTGGTGACTCGGAGCCCACAGTCTTGCCAGACAACTCGGTTGCCCCGCAGTCTTGCCAGACGACTCGGTGCCCGCAGTCTTGCCAGACGAACTCGGTGCCCGCAGTCTTGCCAGACGACTCGGTGCCCGCAGTCTTGCCAGACGACTCGAAGCCTGCTGTTCCGCCAGTTGGACTCGGTGCCCGCAGTCTTGCCAGACGACTCGGTGCCCGCTGTTCCGCCAGTCGACTCGGTGCCCGCAGTCTTGCCAGATGACTCGGTGCCCGCAGTCTTGCCAGTTGACTCGATGCCCGCTGTTCCCCCAGTTGACTCGGTGCCCGCAGTCTTGCCAGACGACTCGGTGCCCGCAGTCTTGCCAGACGACTCGGTGCCCGCAGTCTTGCCAGACGACTCGGTGCCCGCAGTCTTGCCAGACGACTCGGTGCCCGCAGTCTTGCCAGACGACTCGGTGCCCGCTGTTCCGCCAGTTGGCTCGGTGCCCGCAGTCTTGCCAGACGACTCGGTGCCCGCTGTTCCGCCAGTCGACTCGGTGCCCGCAGTCTTGCCAGACGACTCGGTGCCCGCAGTCTTGCCAGACGACTCGGTGCCCGCAGTCTTGCCAGACGACTCGGTGCCGCAGTCTTGCCAGACGAATCGGTGCCCGCAGTCTTGCCAGACGACTCGGTGCCCGCAGTCTTGCCAGACGACTCGGTGCCCGCAGTCTTGCCAGACGACTCGGTGCCCGCAGTCTTGCCAGACGACTCGGTGCCCGCAGTCTTGCCAGACGACTCGGTGCCCGCAGTCTTCCGCCAGTCGACTCGGTGCCCGCAGTCTTGCCAGACGACTCGAAGCCCGCAGTCTTGCCAGACGACTCGGTGCCCGCAGTCTTGCCAGACGACTCGGTGCCCGCAGTTCCGCCAGACGACTCGGTGCCCGCAGTCTTGCCAGACGACTCGGTGCCCGCAGTCTTGCCAGACGACTCGGTGCCCGCAGTCTCCGCCAGTTGACTCGGTGCCCGCAGTCTTGCCAGACGACTCGGTGCCCGCTGTTCCGCCAGTCGACTCGGTGCCCGCAGTCTTGCCAGACGACTCGGTGCCCGCAGTCTTGCCAGACGACTCGGTGCCCGCAAGTGCCCGCAGTCTTGCCAGACGACTCGGTGCCCGCAGTCTTGCCAGACGACTCGGTGCCCGCAGTCTTGCCAGTCGACTCGGTGCCCGCAGTCTTGCCAGACGACTCGGTGCCCGCAGTCTTGCCAGACGACTCGGTGCCCGCAGTCTTGCCAGTTGGCTCGGTGCCCGCAGTCTTGCCAGACGACTCGGTGCCCGCAGTTCCGCCAGACGACTCGGTGCCCGCAGTCTTGCCAGATGACTCGGTGCCCGCAGTCTTGCCAGTTGACTCGGTGCCCGCGACTGTTCCGCCAGACGACTCGGTGCCCGCAGTCTTGCCAGACGACTCGGTGCCCGCAGTCTTGCCAGACGACTCTCGGTCTTGCCCGACGACTCAGTGCCCGCAGTCTTGCCAGACGACTCGGTGCCCGCAGTCTTGCCAGACGACTCGTTTCCGCCAGTTGGCTCGGTGCCCGCAGTCTTGCCAGACGACTCGGTGCCCGCGTCCGCTGTTCCGCCAGTCGACGACTCGGTGCCCGCAGTCTTGCCAGATGACTCGGTGCCCGCAGTCTTGCCAGACGACTCGGTGCCCGCAGTCTTGCCAGACGACTCGGTGCCCGCAGTCTTGCCAGACGACTCGGTGCCCGCAGTCTTGCCAGACGACTCGGTGCCCGCAGTCTTGCCAGACGACTCGGTGCCCGCTGTTCCGCCAGTTGACTCGGTGCCCGCAGTCTTGCCAGACGACTCGGTGCCCGCAGTCTTGCCAGTCGACTCGGTGCCCGCAGTCTTGCCAGACGACTCGGTGCCCGCAGTCTTGCCAGACGACTCGGTGCCCGCAGTCTTGCCAGACGACTCGGTGCCCGCAGTCTTGCCAGACGACTCGGTGCCCGCAGTCTTGCCAGACGACTCGGTGCCCGCAGTCTTGCCAGACGACTCGAAGCCTGCTGTTCCGCCAGTTGGCTCGGTGCCCGCAGTCTTGCCAGACGACTCGGTGCCCGCTGTTCCGCCAGTCGACTCGGTGTGCCCGCAGTCTTGCCAGATGACTCGGTGCCCGCAGTCTTGCCAGTTGACTCGGTGCCCGCATTCCGCCAGTTGACTCGGTGCCCGCTGTCTTGCCAGACGACTCGGTGCCCGCAGTCTTGCCAGACGACTCGGTGCCCGCAGTCTTGCCAGACGACTCGGTGCCCGCAGTTCTTGCCAGACGACTCGGTGCCCGCAGTCCGCCAGTCGACTCGAGTGCCCGCAGTCTTGCCAGACGACTCGGTGCCCGCAGTCTTGCCAGACGACTCGGTGCCCGCAGTCTTGCCAGACTCTCGGTGCCCGCAGTCTTGCAGTCTTGCCAGACGACTCGGTGCCCGCAGTCTTGCCAGACGACTCGGTGCCCGCAGTCTTGCCAGACGACTCGGTGCCCGCAGTCTTGCCAGACGACTCGGTGCCCGCAGTCTTGCCAGTCGACTCGGTGCCCGCAGTCTTGCCAGACGACTCGGTGCCCGCAGTCTTGCCAGACGACTCTCGGTGCCCGCAGTCCGCCAGACGACTCGGTGCCCGCAGTCTTGCCAGACGACTCGGTGCCCGCAGTCTTGCCAGACGACTCGGTGCCCGCAGTCTTGCCAGACGACTCGAAGCCTGCCTGTTCCGCCAGTTGGCTCGGTGCCCGCAGTCTTGCCAGACGACTCGGTGCCCGCTGTTCCGCCAGTCGACTTGGTGCCCGCAGTCTTGCCAGACGACTCGGTGCCCGCAGTCTTGCCAGACGACTCGGTGCCCGCAGTCTTGCCAGACGACTCGGTGCCCGCAGTCTTGCCAGACGACTCGAAGCCCGCAGTCTTGCCAGACGACTCGAAGCCTGCTGTTTTCCGCCAGTCGACTCGGTGCCCGCAGTCTTGCCAGACGACTCGGTGCCCGCAGTCTTGCCAGTTGACTCGATGCCCGCTGTTCCGCCAGTTGACTCGGTGCCCGCAGTCTTGCCAGACGACTTGGTGCCCGCAGTCTTGCCAGACGACTCGGTGCCCGCAGTCTTGCCAGACGACTCGGTGCCCGCAGTCTTGCCAGACGACTCGGTGGCCCGCAGTTCCGCCAGTTGACTCGGTGCCCGCAGTCTTGCCAGACGACTCGGTGCCCACTGTCGTGCCTGGTGACTCGGTGCCCGCCGCTTCGTCTGGGGGCCTGAGACCTGTTGCTCCGCCTGAGGGCCCGAGACCTGTTTGCTCCATCTGGGGGTCCAGCGCCCGCCGCTCCGCCTGAGGGCCCGAGACCTGTCGCTCCATCTGGGGGTCCGGCGCCCGCCGCTCCGCCTGAGGGCCCGAGACCTGTCGCTCCATCTGGGGGTCCGGCGCCCGCCGCTCCCGCCTGAGGGCCTGAGACCTGTCGCTCCATCTGGGGGTCCGGCGCCCGCCGCTCCGCCTGAGGGCCCGAGACCTGTAGCTCCGCCTGGGGGTCCGGTGCCCGCCGCTCCGCCTGGGGGCCCGATGCCTGTCGCCCCGCCTGGGGGTCCGGTGCCTGTCGCCCGCGCCCGGGGGTCCGATGCCTGTCGCCCCGCCTGGGGGCCCGAGGCCTGTCGCTCCATCTGGGGGTCCGGCGCCCGCCGCTCCGCCTGAGGGCCCGAGACCTGTCGCTCCATCTGGGGGTCCGGCGCCCGCCGCTCCGCCTGAGGGCCCGAGACCTGTCGCTCCATCTGGGGGTCCGGCGCCCGCCGCTCCGCCTGAGGGCCCGAGACCTGTAGTTCCATCCGCCTGGGGGTCCGGTGCCCGCCGCTCCGCCCGGGGGCCCGAGGCCTGTCGCCCCGCCCGGGGGCCCGAGGCCTGTCGCCCCACCCGGGGGCCCGGTGCCTGTCGCCCCTCCCGGGGGCCCGGTGCCTGCCGTCCCGCCCGGGGCCCGGTGCCTGCCGCCCCGCCCGGGGGCCCGGTGCCTGCCGCCCCGGCCGGTGGCCCGATGTGCCTCTGCCCGGAGTCCAGCCCGATGTGCCTCTGCCCGGAGTCCAGCCCGATGTGCCTCTGCCCGATGTGCCCCTGCCCGATGTGCCCCTGCCCGATGTGCCTCTGCCCGGTGTGCCTCTGCCCGGAGTCCAGCCCGGTGTGCCTCTGCCCGGAGTCCAGCCCGGTGTGCCTCTGCTCGGAGTCCAGCCCGGTGTGCCTCTGCCCGGAGTCCAGCCCGGTGTGCCTCTGCCCGGAGTCCAGCCCGGTGTGCCTCTGCCCGGAGTCCAGCCCGGTGTGCCTCTGCCCGGAGTCCAGCCCGGTGTGCCTCTGCCCGGTGTGCCTCTGCCCGGAGTCCAGCCCGATGTGCCTCTGCCCGGTGTGCCTCTGCCCGGAGTCCAGCCCGGTGTGCCTCTGCCCGGGTGTGCCTCCCGGTGCCCGCCCGAGTCCAGCCCGATGTGCCTCTGCCCGGTGTACCACTGCCCGGAGTCCTGCCCGGTGTGCCAGTCTTTGATATCCCGCCAGTTACCAGACCCGGGCGGTGGAACATTTTTCCCAGCTAGGACTGTTTGGAGCGTCCTGAGGCCGCTCCTTGAGGGGGGGGGTACTGTCAGGAATGGACTGGCTAGCAATGGTGGGACTCACCTGCCTTTTGATCTGCAGTACCAGGGCTGGCCAGCGGATGCTCCCAGCAATCAGAGACTCAACTTTGCAGCCAGCTAACACCTGGAACTAATTATGCTGGGGTATTTAAGGGATGGCCAGACCCACAGACTCTGCCTTGGTGTTGTGTTTGTCCTGGGCCCTGTATCCTGTTTCTGTCCTGCATCCTGTTTCTGAACCGCTGCTGACTTCTCCTGCTCTGATCCCGGCTCGCTCCTGACCATCCCTCTGCCTGACCCTCTGTACCACGCTGCTTGCTACCTGTTCTGATCCCTGGCTTGTGACCCTGACCATCCCTCTGCCTGACCCTCTGTACTACGCTGCTTGCTACCTGCTGAACCTGGCCTGTGACCCCGACCAATCTCCGCTTGCTCCCCCTGTACCTACCTGCCCTATTGATATTGACCCGGCCTGCCTGACGACGCTTGCTTGTATGTACTGTTATCTGTGGGTGGTTGGTTTGGTTTGTTTGCACTGTATTATGTTTTAGTATTGCACTGCGTTTATGTTTGTATTGTTAGTGTTAATAAATTATATTGTTTATAACATATCTGAGGTCTGCGTTTCCCTGCGTCAGCCACACACACATCTGGTCACACCTGGGAGCCCTGACACACTCCTCTAGAATAAGTCAAATAAGTGGAATGATACTGTACACTAAAATGTTTACACTTTAAATGATTAATAGTATCCTTGTCCAGGTGTGTCTCCTGCACGCAAAGTACAGACGCGCATTATATGTTTTTGCTGTAGAAAAAACTGCCATTCTCTTCACAGGATGCACCAACCCTGGACATTCCAGGAGCATATATTTATGGTTTTACTTCATACACATATATCTCCAATATGCAGATATTGGATAAATTACCCCACATATAAAAATAAAAAAAAACTGTAAACAAATTTAAAAATATAGTACATCTGGCTATTTTTTCCATCTCCCTCTCTCTTTTAACATAAAACTGAACCATATAATAATAACAATATAATAGTTCAATAGTAATCAAGCAGTGCCTTTATCTCCCTTCTGGTTAATCTGGTAGATACATCTATATCATTATAAAGAACCGTGAACAAGTGTAATCTTTTAAAGCATTTATACCTCAGTCTACCTTTTACTAATGATACACCTCCTAAAGAAGAACTCAAACACAAAAAGAGTCTATATAAAAAGAAAAAAAAGAAAAGAAAGAAAAAAAAAATAATAACCAAAGAAATAGGAAACAAAGAAAAAAAAACAAAAAAAGGAGAAAAATGAAAGGAAAAAAAAAAACAATAATAACCCTCTTCTTTTCACACATACAAACTACCTGGCTCTCCCTGTGGACCCTAATACTTGCCAATGTGATATATAATCTCTTATTAATGTGTAACCATTCAGAAATATATTTAATACACACTATAAACGGAAAACAAATTACACAAAAAAAACTAATGTATAAAAAGAGAGAACGAACACCTCATTCTCTTTACTACCATATACTCTCTACTCCCATCTGAAAAAAATAAAAATAGGAACAAAAAAAATATTACTCATTCAACTGTGCCACCCTTTTGATATATGCATATTTAAGATAGAAATTTAGTCCCCTCTGTCCAAAGCCTTTTTTCATTCTTCTTCAACCATGTAACCACTTCTGCTGGAGCACCAAAAAAGTGGGCTTCCCCACTGGCTGCAACCTGTAACTCTGGTTCCAAGATTCTCACCCCAGATTGCAGCACTCCTCAGCCTAGCTTCAGCCAGCCAGGTAGTAGTCTGTTTGCAACCTCACATTTCTCAGGCAGTGCACAGCTACTTATAATGTCAGAGCAGGAGCAGGGCTGCACACCTGCACTCACGTTAGCTCATGTCCACCCCCCCCCCCCCCCCCCCCCTTCTACAGTCTTCAGGGCTCTTTTTCAGCTGGGATGTGGCAGAACTCCATTTTGCCACCTCTGGCAGCCCTACCTGCTCCAAACTGTCACTGTAAACATAGAAGTCGGTAGAGAAAGTTTTCTAGACTACTAACTTCTTGTACCGACTTCTGTGTTTACAGTGACATTGTACCTCTTTGAACAGCTCAGCTGTGCTGCTGAGGCACCAGCCTTGTTGTTCCTCCTGAAGACTTCTTTCTGGCAGGTGAGTGGTGGAAGTGCTCTGCATCTGCTCAAATTGAAAAGAAGTGCTTTGGCAATGGACAGGCCTGTGAGACCCTCAGACTGAGTTGTTCAGACTTTTTTTTTTACGGTTATGTGGTTGTTATGGATGGAAGATTTTGTAGCTGTGATGATATTCACAACAGGGACATATTGGGATGCTACAGCAAAGTTCAGTTCCTTGGCTAAGACTTCTTTATCAGGTTGAGTAAGCCGTCTGTCTGAAAGCTTCTTTGCTCATGTGTCCTTAGTGCTTTGGGGTGTTTTATTATCATCCTCTCTCCTTCAGGTTAACTTTTCTGTTTTGTTGTTGTTGGTTTGTAGTGGCAGGTTGGTGAATTTGTTGACTTGGCTTTCCTTACCCTTGGGCTAGTGTTGGGCTAGCAGAGCTTGTTCTGTAATTTCAACCACTCTTTCTAGGATGTATGCAGATAGTTTTGATACAGATAGTTTTGATGCCAAACTTGTCTCTTTCCGATTCCTCTATGCCTGGCGTGAATGTGGCAGGGACAATCACTGCAGACAATCTTCATCAGATATCTGAGCCCACTAAACACTTGGCATCCACAAATATCTTTATTGCATTCAGAAGGGTTGAGACAAACCAAAAGATGTGGGAGATATTAGTATTTGTAGCATTTGAAGGTCGAAGGAACATTTCTTTCCGAGCCTCAATGTGCATCTTGCAGGAACAACACAGGAACTCACATTGGGGAAGGAAGGAAATAACATCTAATATAAAGGAGGGTGAAATAGAAAATGAACTGGAACTAAAGCAATGGCCAGATGGTGGAAGCATAACCATAAAATAACACGAGAAATAAACATAGATGCAATTGCATTACCCATATAACTGCTGGAGTCAGCACATTCCCCTTCTGATATTATCAGATACCATTATAATAACAGAAGGTGGGTAGATGATACATTCTAAAGAAAGGGAGATACTAGCACTCGTCATGTTCTTGTAAAGGTGAAGCTAGCTCTGAATGTACACCATCAAATAATATTACTATAGAGGCAACAAAATGGTCTTTTATTGCCGGCTTGTTTTTAGTGTTCACTGCACTCAGACAATTCTAGATGAAACCTGCTCACAATTGTTTGGACTCTTGACTTTTGACAGCATGAAAGTACAAAGGTGCAACATAGCTGATGAATTGAAGAATTCATTGTCTAATATTCTGATGGATTCTCTGTCTTCAATAGGCAGGTCTTTTTTATTGCCATCATGTGTAGTATAAAACAATGTTCTCCCTAAGTTATCATCACAGTGGATAGGAGTAATATTATGTATTTAGATGATGTCAGTAGGCCTCTCCTTCACCTCATGATGATCAGGGCATGGTTTGAAATAAGTAGTTCCTCCATTTCTTAATACATAGATTTTAAAAGAGTTTGTGTATCCTGTCTAAACACACATCACCCACTATTTCCAAGCCTTGATCAAGTCTTTGTGCATATGGGGCATTGCCAGGACTGGTGCACTGCTTTGACAATTTTTCTTCCTCGCAAGACTTAGATTTGAGCATTCATGTCCATGGCAGGAATTTGATTGAGAAGGTGCCTTTAATGGGGATGGTAATATGCAGTTTCTTAAAGTGGGCCTTCACTCCCTCAATCAACATGGACTATTTTTAATCCGTATGCTGCTAGCATTAGTAAATAATTTGAAAGGTATATCATACTTGTTTAAAACTTTTTTTTTTATTTCTTCAGTTACTTCTTGGTTTCCATGCCTAGGCAAATGATGTCATACATCCCAGGAGTCTTCAGGAGGTGAGGGAGGGTTCCCAGATCAGCCTATGGATGTGCTAAGGTCAGATGGATTCCAGGAAGTAGATGCTACATGAATCATCTAGCCTTACTCAAGATGGTCACTGACAGAAACGCCAGGGGGTGTTTTTTAAAATAGCAAAATAAAGCATGGAGACGTGAATGGATGGAGGAATTTGCCTTGAATATTAAAAATGAATTAAACTGTGTTTTAGGTTTATGGTGCTCAGATGCAGTGTACTTCCACATTATTAAGTAGAAATCTCTTCACTGTTGTCTGGTCACATTCAATTAGGGTCCATTCCTACTAGCCCCTGCATTACAAAGAGCAGGCAGTGCTTTAAAAAAAAAACTTCATTGAATTATATCAGTGACTGTGCTGTGCTGGAAAAAAGTACTGCACACCATATTTTTTTTTATCAGTGTGCAACTCCCACACTACACCACAATACAGTTGTGTGAACTGGCTACACCGGAGACATGACATTTTGCCTTGTCTTGCAATGCTAGAATACATGTCCAATGCAGACCCACTGCACATGGTGTGAATCTACCATTAATGTTGGCAAGGGTATATACAGTGGGGAAAATAATTATTTGATCTCTGTGCACATTGTCTAAGTTTGCCCACTTACAAAGAAATGAAGGGTCTACAATATTTATCATAAGTGTATTTTAAATGATAGAGACAGAATATCAACCAAAAAGCCTGAAAAAACACATGATACAAATGTTATAAAT